ACCGAGCATGTGAATTTGCGATAAGTTAGTTACTGCCTTATAATAAAGAAGGAGACGTTAAATTCGTTATGCGTAACTGTATATAGGTACCGTGACCGTGGGTTGAAGTGATTAGGTGCGTATATATGTATCGGCAGTCACGATGTCCTGTATTGTACTGGCACGTACGGTAGCTCCTGGCTAAGGCGTGTTTCTGTCGGTTACTGACTATTTGTCAGTTACTAGGTAGGATCTCTACATTCAATCAATATATTTCATGCCGCCTGCCACTTGTCAAGGAGCTGCTGCTGCTCATCACGGGGTAGTTATTAGTTGATACCTGTTACCTGTCAGCAATCACTTGTGAGTAAGAGACCGGATATCGGTCGTTGTTTCGCGGAGATCTCGGGTTTTATGATTCCCGAATGGCGCAACCTCGTTGCTGAGTATCATATGTGGCTAGATTGCCTATGTCAATATAGGTCTTAAGCGGATTCAAACTTGATGCCATAAAGCTCCACGCATCTCTCGATCACGCTGCACACGGGCAGTGATGTTGAGATGAAACAAGCGGGCATCACGTAACGTAAAGAGATGGGGCATATATATATATATATATAATATATATATATATATAATATATATATATATATATATATAATATATATATATATATATATAATATATATATATATATATATATATATATATATATATATATATATATATATATAGCCATGCAAACACGGGTGCACGTATGCACGCACGAAGGCATTTACAAGAGCAGACTGCATAATTCACGCCGTGAAAAATTGAGTTCACGGTGTTTCTGGTTTTCTGGTGTCTGATTCATCTGTGACCTGCACTAGCTGACTCGTAAAATGCAAGTGCGCAACCATGCTATTTTATTTGTCGTACAATTATAGCTGATAGTTGTAGAAACATATAATTCATACAGTACATACAGGGCTAGACGGCGTTATCGCACTCGCGTAATATACTTAATTATGTATGTATAAAACCCACACCGCGTCCATTTTTATTTTATGGCTATATATACTCCTCCTACCGGTAGCTTTGTTACGCACCAGCATGTGCTCCTGAGTTACTGGCGCTGAGTTTTTACTGATTAAACTATAGTAATGGCCAAGTCACCCTGTAATGTGTATGCGGTACGTATGGGTGCCGAGCTGGTGGGTCATGTAGGGGGATGAACAATCTGTCTGGACATGTGAATTCCTTTGAGCAATGGAGCTCGTTTGGGCTGCATCAAGCCGCGCTTTCCGTGCGGAATGATGCGGCTACTTTTAATTAGCAAGACATCGAGGTGTTAACATTGTTAATGCGCTCTTGATAGTACTAGGTCGGCAACGATGCGAGCAAGATCTAAAGCGAGTGTGAAATGGGTCCGCCAAAATCTTTGTAAACTGTATTTACTCTGTGTCGCGTCATAGCATATATATTTAAATAATTGTGTTAATTATTTCGTTTATATATTTATGTCAGACATATCTCAGCCCAGTCAAATACAACAAGTTACAACACAGTAAGCGGTGTCGAAGTAATACATGCCACCGCAAATGGCATTACGTGAGAAAATGACGTTTTCTCGGAGAAAATCATATTATTGGTACTGAACACACGGAATTATATATACACGCACACAGCGTATAAACATATAATTCAACAATCATCTCCTCATATAGTCTTGTCTGACTGGGTTCATCACATGATGTAGACTGCCATTGCCAGCTTGTCTTCATTCAACGGTACGTGGCATGTAGAACCCTGTTAGCTCTGGTCTGAATGAATGGAACATCCATTCTGTCTGGCTCTCCAACAATACGCCTATATCTGTTGCATCAAATCACTCCATTTCATATCCCATCAGGCAAATACACATATTGCTTTCTGTGTGGACATAAGTGTACAGTATAGTGAGCACTCGGTATTGAAGCTCGGTGACAGCCGTTGTATGACTATCAGAAGTAGATAATAAGGAATATAGGGAATAATTCCCTATTATCTACTTCTGATGACTATGGTACAGATAGAGACCAGGGCCGCGTGATGTCTTGGAGGCGTGTGGTCGATCGGTATTCCTCCAGGAAGTCAAGACTGGCGTCATTGGTTATTTAAATCGTGGAGCTGATCAGACTATGCTCTGCATTTTACACCAAACAGGGGCAAGGTTTTTATAAAAACACTCAAACCGTTAGAAGCTAGTATACGACGACGCAGTATCCACTGACTCATGACGTCACTATTTTTCACAGTACTGCTCTATCAGGCGCATTTTTAAGTTAAGTTTCTTTTTTTTCAATATAAACTCGATTTTATCATTGTTTTTGCTAGTGAACCTTCGGTAACATTTTGTTTGGCAGATCGAATACAGCTGCTGCATGGTACAATCCATCTCATGGCGCTAATCTCTTGCAAACGCCCACAGAAGCGTGTCAAAAGTAATGATCAATTAATTAGTAGGGCGACGTGGATGGGTGTATGCTTCGTATAAATCCATAGCAATAGTAGCGGCATGTCTATGTACATGTGTCGCAGTAAATAACTCTCAGTGACAGAAAAAATGGCGCCAGGCTTTACTCCTCGGTTTGAAGCATGCCCCACTGATTTTGCTGAAGCGATCAGACGAAATGTGATCTAGGCTGAATAGGCTGATCGATGGTCGCGTTCTGCGGATTTCCCATCAGCTATACTGATTCACACGCGCGCCTATATAATTTATTTTGTCTTGACATTTTCAGGCTGGATTCTGTTTTTAGTGAAATCTGACACCTGTGTGCATGGGTCGGCGCCTCGTGTTCAGAAGTCCTCATGCAGCTGTCGTTCGTATTTCCCGTACTTGCCGTGTGCAGTTCAACTACTTTTAGGAGAACAATTATATATTAAATACTTATTAAAGTGGTTGCCGCACTAGGTTATACACAACAATAGGGATTAAGTCTTATGAACATTTATCCATTTAAGTCTCATCATTTAAAAAATAATAATTTCGAATAATGCAGTTATAACGCGTGCCGCGATTGGTTAGAATGCAGGGTAAAGTGTGGTTTCTTTCCTTTATTGAACTATAACCCGTTTCGGATGTTTGTCTTCTGTTCTATAACTACCTATCTTTACTTTCTAACCTTTCTATTTTGACTTGATTTTTTTAACTATTTGTTTCCTGTTGCTATACCCATCGTCTTTAGTTTCACCCCTGCTTGTCTACTATATAAGAATGATGACCTCCTTCGTTTACACCCATCCATCTCATTTCACTTTTATCATTATATGAGGAGGACAGGGTTTTTTGGACCATGACGAAATGAGGTTAATTTAACACGATATTTCTAATAAGGTAGCAAATTCATATGCAGATATTTAAATTGGCATTTAGGCCATCTAAGACTATAATAACACACGCACGCACGTACGTATACGTACGCACGCGCGCGTACACACACACATACAGATATATATATATATATATATATATATATATATAGGTAGAATATATCTTAGAATCTATTCAAGTACTCCTGGTAGCAGTGCCATGCAGTGCTGAGGCCATATAGGCCATACTACAAGTTCTGCTATGTTTAAAAAACATTTGTGTTATTGTTGCTGTTGAAGTTTAAAGCACCCGCTTCCGCCAACGCAATGAGCACGCGGTCCTCTCGAAGCGCCCCTAATATTGCGATTTCATCTTCATAGTGTGTTGCCACATGAATAAATAATAAAGTTGCATGGACATTGCATACACGTTCACATGCGGGTGACTTTAATTGTGTAAACAATTAATATGGATGGGTGAAGGCAAGGGCACCATAGCTTGTCGCGAAATTTTCTTGCTGTCTGTACATGTGGTATAATGTTTTATGTATTATATATATTATATATATATATATATATATATATGCGTGCGTGTGCGCGCGTGTGTGTGTGCGTGCATGCGTGTGTGTGTGTGTGCGTGCGTGCGTGCGTGCGTGGGTGTGTGTGTGCGTGCGTGCGTGCGTGCGTCTGTGCGTCTGTGCGTCTGTGTGGCTGTGTGTCTGTGTGTCTGTGTGTCAGTGTGTCTGTGTGTCTGTGTGTCTGTGTGTCTGTGTCTGTGTGTGTGCGTGCGTGCGTGCGTGCGTGCGTGAGTGAGTGTGTCTTATATAGTATGTATTGACGGACGGATATTTTTTCGCTACCTGTGAGCTTGGCGGACGTGGCTGCATGCATGCCCAATGTGGCACGTGCCTCGTGCTAGCTATAGCCATCTCCAATATAGGCAGACGATCCCCCCAGACATACAAAAAGACGGAAATTTATTAAAAAAATATGCAAGCAAATATTCTAGAAATCATGGCAAATGGGAGAACGAGAGTGATCGTTGAGTGTGTGTGAAACGAAACTTGGCACCGTTAATATGTGGGTTAACGTAGATAAGCGGGATTACACGAGTATAATGTAGGAATAATTGCAATTAAGTGATAATTGCAAAAAATATAAAAAAACGCAATTTTTTCATCGTAGTGTAGTACTCGTGAGCAAAAATTTAAACTAAATGAAATCGTTCTCAGTGGGTGGCTAAGCAGCCGGTCGAATTTAATTGCGTTAAAGCGAAATGTTCTGATTTACACCATATCTACCCATTAGTGAAAATGCGAAATGAAAAGTATCGCAGTCTTTCAATATTTGTTATTCATTTACGAGAAAAATCATTCATTTTTATTACCAAGATTCGACGATTTGATGGATACATATATCGTCTATCGGCTGCGATAGAATTTGTCGTGATAAAAATTGTTATACGGGATATAGGCAGTTACATCGACAGCAAACAGACAGACTTGACATCCAGCTCTATTTGGACTCCGCGTGTTTAACCATGTGATGTGGCAACGCATGACATTTAGGTCTATCAACCTGCCACCATTCGAGCAGCGTCTGCAGTAGTAAGATGCGTGGTAGTGGCTGCAATCAAGATGGCGATTGCTTCACCAGTCCTCATAGTCGTCACTTCGTTTTCGTTGCAGATGGAGTCGATTGTAGAGAAGATGCAGGACGATGTGACTGGAGTGCCAGTCCGCACCGTGAAGTCGTTCATGACAAAGATTCCGAGCGTTTTTACTGGTGAGTATAGTCAACCTGTGACCATGCATTTGGAGGCAACACGTTTTGAAATGTCGCTAATGCCGAAGAGCCGTGGTCACACGAATTCGTCGGCGGTAAAACCAGAGCTCTGCACCGCGGTCATACGCGCGTGCTCTGCAATCAATCTCTCTCGTCCATCTCTGCGCTGTTATTATGCCAAATATTTTTCTTCTTTGCGGCTAGAATTGATTTGCTCCTCATTGAATTATTAATGCTTATACGCGGAAGATTTCGTAAGAGTTGTGTGCAGAAGCTCAACTTCAAGCTTGGCGAGGTTGGTGAAATTACAAGGGAGCTCCCCTGGCGGTTGTGGCATGCGTAACCCGTGCACGAAAGAGAGGGGAGGAGAAGGAGCGGAAGAGGGACATGGCATGCAGAGATAGGGGCAGAGAGGGGGGGGGGGGGGCTGGGGTAGATCACGGAAGCATGATAGCAAAAAGGAAAAGGGAGGCTAATGTTCGAAAATGTTCGTGGTCGTGTTTGCATGTCATGGTCCTGTCTACACTCGTAAGACGAGAAGCGTCGAGGGAGCGTTCGAAACCGTGAAGTGAGAAGGAGATGATAGACGAAGCTAACGAGGAGCGAGGCAGGCAGTTAAGAAGCCAGGATGGTGGTCAACGAGAAGTAATATGACAGCCAAGGCAAAGAAATGAGAGAGAACGCGCTAGCAAACTAGTGTGAATAGTTGAAATATAGCCGGGGAAGAGTGAGTAGGGAAGAAATCAGGACAGTGAGAACGAAAGCGAGTACAGCAATGGAAGAGGGCCGGCTAGCTCTAGGGGGAAGATCGGCGCGTGGCTCGACGTCTGAGGTAATTTTCCTGGAAAATAATGACCCTGTTGGTATTAGGTTGCGTGCATTTTCGGTCGTGGTGATCAATGCGGCTGTTCGCAAAATTGTGATTTCGGAATTCTGTTCTGCATTAGATTGTGAGTAAGACTGCTATCTGCGGTAGCAGCGTAATTGAAATATATTGAGAAACCGATTAGGTTGAAAACTCTATGCCTTGGCTTTGCGCTAACAAAGCGAACGATATTAGGTTGAAATTAGAATGCGTTCTCATGCCTAATCGATATATGCATTATTAAAATATAAGGCCACGTGGTAAGCTGATATTACGTTGCATTTAAATGAATCAGGTTGCGCGCGCCTGCTGTGTATATATAACCACTATAGATTTAAATGTGTCATTTCGAAGATGCTTCCATTCTATAATTTCCTAAAATGATGGCTGCACGAAGCTCTAGCTGATATAAGACAACCGCATGTTAAAAATTGTTAGGAATGTCCACATAATGTTAAAATAAATGATTTACAAGAAACAGCTGTAATATGAGTGGCTGCAGCTATAGCTATTGGCTAGTAGTGCTTATAAGGTGATCGTCATTGTTCGCACCGCAAGGTAGTCTCTTCTCACCTTGTTGTCTGCTTCGGGCCTCGGTGTCTCGATCTCCCCACCCATGCAGTGGCTCTTTAGCTCCGCAGTATTTTCTCCTGAGCCTAGCTGCTCTTTAATATCTGTCCCTTCATGTATGTCTTGCCCCCTCCGTATTTGTGCCACTGTTCACCAATGTCTATTGTGCTTGACATCGCAGTGTGTATTAAATTAATTCCCTCTTCAAGTACGTGTCCGACCCGCTTTCAGTCTCTGCTTAACCGGTGTCCCCAACTTTTCAGAGAGCGCCCAGCATATATATTTCAGTGTATGCCCCACTCAGTGTCAGCATTTATCTCGTTATCTCCGCTTTCCATTGTTCGCTTCGTAGTTCGTAGTGTTCTCTTTTTGCCGTGAGTACGCGCCATATGAGAAATCTACCATGTATAAATATCCGGTCTTTGACATTTACAAATATTTATGTTGCCACTGATACTGACGCGTGCAACTATCTCTTTTGGTAAGAATGAACTATTTGCTTACCCCGCTTGCTAACATTTTCGCTATAGCAATATCTGAGTTATACACGAGGCAACATAGATAGCGTGTCCTATTATTGCATAAAATATGTATCTATGAATAGGCCTATACAGTATCTGGTATCGTAAGGTAATATGCGAAAACATATCAGCAAATACGATTTGGTGAAACTACGAAAATGACGTAACTGTGCGTAAATTGGCCTCTAATTGTGATGCGGTTACAGTCACGAAGTTGAAATCTGCTGTAACTACACATAATTACGCGCTAGTGTTTACTGAAATCTGTCTAAGGTGCATGGCCATGTTGATTTTAGTACGAAATTGTCGATTGCAATTAATTATGCAATAAATAACGCGTGATGCAATTGTTTCGCCTAATATAATTTAAGCAATCCACGTTTTTGCTAGTATTGGTTATGTTGGAGTTTGAAAATTAATTCAATTTAAGTTTGGGACGAAAAAAATGATAGTGAGCATCATCATCATAAATTTTCCATTAACATCTAGGGATCGATGTTCAGGGCATGTATTATTTATCCCTTTAGCACATTTGCTGCGAGCATGTCAGCCGCAGATACATCAGAATTCTGTAATTGAAATTGCTTCAAGGGTAGGCAAAAATATTTGACAACAGAAACCGAAGCGTTTACTATCTTTTGTCATTCATTATTCATTCGCAAGTCTAATTTATTGATAATTTATCATTATTTGCTGTTATTCATTCAAAGATGAATGCGCGTGCGTGCGTGCGTGTTTGTGCGTATAGCGGATGGCTGCATGCATGCATGCGGTCGACCGAAGTTTGTATTATTATATTACATCAGTATCGTCGCTTTTTTCATTTCTCTAATCTTTACCTACTTCGATCTTCTCTCCATCTGCTGTCTTTTCTGCTCCTAGCTCCGCATCTCTGAAACTCTGTGTTCGTGCTTAGGCTATGTCTATCTGTGCGTCTGTTGTAACCATTCTTGTCATTTCTTGCTGTGGGTAATTACCATTCCACTATCTGTCTGGGCTAACTGTTTTGCCACTATATATGCATCCCGTTTTCGCAGGATTTCATGCCACTATCTAGATTAAGATGCCCATGATGTATTAAGCAGCTGTTCTGATTATATGTAAGCCATCAGGATCCCTAGAGGCAATGCAGGTAAATTATGTGTCCAGGTCAGCTTACCTACAGAAGCCCTTTATGCGACGTGACTGTTAGCAACAGCTTTGTCGAATAAAGCTTCATTTGGCTGCTCGCGGCGCCAGATCAATATTTTGGCACACGAAATCAATACGCACACTCAATAGAGAAAGTTTCGATAATTTCTTTTATTCCTGCTAAAACCTCATTGAACTCACATCTAGATTTTGCACTAAATTATTAATTTAGTGCTTTAATTGTCGCCAAATTTCTGAATGCGGGAGCGGATTTGCATGTTACTCGCGCGTCTACTCGTTTTCTGCTGTAAGTGGATAGACGCGACACAGCAATTAGCATATGCGCATTAAAACTGATTCGCTGTCGGAGAAATCACCATGGCGACACCACCGTTATTTTGAAAAGGCGGTGCTCGTGGCTCCCAAGTGATAATGACGCGCAGCTAAGCGAAGTTCACATATTATATAATATTTTGTCAACAATTTGTCAATAATCGAATGATTTCCTTCCCATTGCGTTAACGAATCGAGTGGCGCGAGCTGACGTCGGAAGGAGTTACAATACGCACTAATGGCCTTTGTGTGCCAGGCTAACCGACAAAATGAATAAATAATATATTAATATGTATACGTGCGTGTGTATGAGCCTTTATCATTTACATCTCGTAAACAGCATGCCCGTTTCTCCGAGTTATATCCATGACAGTTGACTGTAAACGCATGTATGTTGTTAAAACAATTACGAAAAACGAGTGCGTCCGTAATTATTATATTATATGTAGTAAGTCATGTAGGTATAAATTCATTGGGTGATACGTAATGTCACTTGAATGTCACACGACATTGCAGGCGCATGCACATGCACTTCTGACTGGATTTTGCGTATAGGTCACGCGTATCTGTGCATCGCGGTTATTACACACGCATATCCGTTGCCTCCTCTGAAGCTCGTCAGGTGCATGTCATCTGTGCTAATTTCGCCCGCAGTTGTGTAGTTCTGTAGATCCTATATAAGCGTCATGTGTTATATATAGGTGTATATAGCGAATTAGCGATGCACATAGATGTGCGCATCACGTGTCTTGTATTTGGTGGTTGTCTCCACGCTGTGTGTGTGTAACGTTATTTGCAGGATGTTCATTCTTGAGGCACGAAGCATTCCACCGCACCCCATCTGCTCTTGGCACCGTGACAGGCGTGGGAGGTACTAGGGAAGGCTTTTGCAGTATCAGCAGAAAGTCTGTGCGTGCCCGCGTGCATGCCGTTATATTAACGTAGCGCGGGGAAGAACTGTAAAATTATAATGGCGATTTAAAAAACAATAATCGCGCGTTAATGTAGTTGCACGTGCCGATAAAACATAGTGCGATGCGATGCGAGTATAGTGGAGACGCTGCCGAATCCTCGGCGGGTTATAATAGTCGGATTTCGCGACTAGTCTAGCTAGCAGCGAGAATGGATTGAACCAAGAAAAGTTATTCAATTATTCAGTGCTGCTTCCCGTGAAAGGAGAGGGGAAGATTGAGTTCGGCCTGGGGTGCTGGTTATGATAGTTTGGCTGGAGACCTCTGGCTCCTGTGAGAGCGAATACGCGGTATCTGTCGGAGAGCGGGAATTAAGAAGGGCCGTGGGGTTCGTGAACGGGTAGAAGCCTTCAGGTGTCTTGCTATTTCGCCACAGTACAGGCAGCTGCTGTACTGTATATTATGATCAAATAGCATTCGCGTAGAAACTCGCTTCTATGTACGCATACTCGTTAGTTATACCAGTTAGCGCAGGCGCAGCATGATATCTTTGTCTCATCCCGGTGTCAGCTAGCATGCCGAATGTGTATATATGTGTATGTTGTCAGTCAGCAGTATGGCACATGATATCATATTAATGCTATCAAACGCAATTTAATTTAATATATTATACCCTTGTGCTTATATAGCTGGTACGTCCTGTATGCATGCATGTGAAAAATATACAACATACAAATACAATATAACATTGCATTTCAACAGTTCGGCGGATCAAATATGCAACCTGCATTCTTTATGCTTCACATGCGACGCATGCCGCCGTAGCCGGCAGTCGGGCCAGACCGCCGTAGCCGGCAGTCGGGCCAGTCGGCAGTCGGGCCTGGTATTCTCGCAGCGGGCCGAACATAATTACTGCCGAGATGGCATGGAAGTGACAACTTACACCACTGTAACTCGTTCTAGGGGTATTTTCTAACCGAATGTAAATATAAAATTATCGTACGTGGTTTCGTTCAATCGTTATAGTTCACGATTATATTTTCTATTGTGTCGTTCCGTTCGTTGTGTATAAGCAGTTGCGACGAGCCGTAGCTAATATTGCAAGCAATTCTTGTGCGCACCAAAATTCAAATAGTATAGAATAAGGCTAGTTTAAAAACAACATAATCGGCATTCGAGTTCGGCGTTCGACAATGTCATTACCCGTAACCGTCATTGATAATTACGTTTTATGTAAAGAAGTCACAGCAAAATTCAAGTACTAGATGTGAACGCCGTGAAACTCATGACGAATTTATTTAACGCGTGTGCCCAACGGCTCCGTGTGTAGTAGCCCTACCCCGTCTCCTTCTGCGCCTCCCCAGTGCACAGCATTTGCATGCATCCAGTATGTAAAGGTAGGACGATAACATGTCGGCATATTTTATTCAGGACTCGCCAGGCGAGGCACTGGTTTTTGCCTCAAGAAATTTGTCTGCGCGATGCGTCATTTGAATATTATTGCTTGCATTGAGCCGCATGCATCGTGGTAGATAGCATAAGCTCTTTGTCTGTCACTCGTAATGACACGGCCGCATGCCGTATCGTAAAAATACGGCAAGAAAGTTCAGTATTGTAACTTTAATATTCATATCGGACTGACTATATAGTCGGGTCCGGTGTGGCGCGTATAATGGCTTGAAAGCAGCGCGATTAACCCGATAGCTCGTATTTCTGTAAAATTATTCCTAGCAATCACTCGAATTTATCCTTCGTATTGTTCAAAATCGTAATTGCAAAAGATTACGTGTATTCATTAATAGGTTAGCGCAGTCTGACCATTTACACTGTACGTGAGCAATCATTAAAAGGTTGAGGGGCTCAGAGTGCAACGTGTGCCTCACTCTTTGTTATTATAATCACATGAATAATTGAGACAACTATAATGAAGCCGTTTACATTTGCCCTGTGCGTTCGTTTCATAGACTGTATTTCATTTATCGGATATATGCGACTGAGCGCAAATCGCCAACTGAAATAAATTAATTGAAAAGGCCCACCATTCACACAATTTCCCTTTATTATTTCATTTCTATAATCGATTTCGCGAGGCGAGTCATTCTATAGACTGGTCTACGAACGCGGTGCATCGTATAACTATAGTTATAGGGGGTTTCAAATAAATTCTGCAATATAAAAGAAATATTTGGAACCTTTTCATCGCTTACACACGCGCATACGGGCACGCACGCACGCACGCACGCGTGTATCGCGCAGCAGCTGGCCGGCTCGTCACCGCCGAGATGTGTGGCGGCGGCTCTGGTAATTTACTTTGAACTGGTGGAAGTGATATTGCTCTCGGTATTATTACTAGGTTCGAATAGCCATTATTCATCGTCGTGCCACCCTGCCCGCCGCTGTCTCCACGCTACTAGCTAATTAGAATAATAACTGCTGCCTCAAAGATAGTATAGTACTTCATCGGCACATAGTGAGCATTTTGGCATAGCATATTGTGTACAGCACGCGCGCTCTCCTCTCTCTCTCTCTCTCTCTCTCTCTCTCTCTCTCTCTCTCTCTTTCTCTCTTTCTCTCTATCTCTCTATCTCTCCCTCTCTCCCCCCTCTCTCTCTGTGTGCATGTCTCTCTCTTTCTCTCTTCTTCACTCTCTCTAGCTTTCTCGCTTTCGCTCTCTCTCAAATCCTTCTAAGGTTTTCCTCGTAAGATATAATTTCAAAACTATGACAGTTTATTTCGCCGCAAAAATCGACGACCATCGGCGCTCTTGTAATTAGCCGTGAATGATTCGAGATGAAAGCGAACTTTCAATATTAACGACTGGGGTGCCTCGCAGCCGAGCTGCAGAAATGTGAGCTGCTGGTACAGTTGCTACTGCTGCTGCTGCTGCTGCTACTGTTGTTGTTGCTGCTGCTGCTGCGGCTGCTGCTGCAGTTACTCCTCCTGCTGCTGCTGATGTTGTTGTTGTTGTTGTTGTTGCTGTTGTTAATTACTGTCGGGTTGTTGTTTGTTGTTGTTGTTGTTGTTGTTGTTGTTGTTGTTGTTGCTGCTGCTGCCGCTACCGCCGCTGCTGATGCTAATGCTGCTACTGCTAATGCTACTACTGCTGCTACCAGCTACTACTACTACTACTGCTACTACTACTACTACTACTACTACTACTACTACTACTACTACTACTACTACTACTATCTTCAGGTTGCATAGCGCTATAAGTCCAAACCGAAGACGATAGTAACCATTTGTAAATTCTGTGGGTAAGATGTGTTTACTGCGGTATAAACAGCGGTATAACGCGTTTTCGTTTTCTCTTCTAGGAGCAGACTTAATAAACTGGATGATGAAGAATTTGGATATAGAAGATCAAAGTGAGTACCTTATTAGTCTTTTTTACTCTCGAGCACATTTTTAGCTTACCTTGACATCGTCAAGCTGAGCTATTGCCATGGGTCGTCGTCCGTCGTACGTCCGTCCGTCCGTCCGTCCGTCAACATTTGGCTACGGTCAACGATAACTCAGGAATCGTTTGACCCACATGTTTGAATTTGGGTATAGTTGTTACTGCTATGCGCCCATATTAAACGTCCTATTTTGGAGCACGCCAGTCGACGTACTTTTGAGCCACGGCATTTTTTTTGGCAAAAATGGGAATTGCCATTAGTCAGTTCAGGTTCAACGGATTTTGCTCATTTTTGGTATGTGAATGAATAAGGGCTATAGTCAGGTCTGTTAGGGATATTTTGGTGCAAATTCTTCTAAAAGTACCAAATTTGGTCCAGAGGTAGCTTATACCATACTATTACGATTTCTGCCGGGCGCCAAGGAGGGCGCCCCCTGGGGCCGCCATATTGGGCAAATCCAAAATGGCCGCCATCTGAGCTAAAGATCAAGTGTAGTTCCAAAAGGGAAAGAGCTAGTATGATAAAAGTTTATATATTTATGGGGTTTTCGGGGTCAGAGAATCTGATTATGATGATCTCACATCGATTTGAGGTTTCTTTGGGCTGTTACAATGGTCAAATCCAATATGGCTGCCATACGGGCAAATGCTGTGATGTGTATACTTAGATTTTCTAATCTCTTTCTATCTTGGTGGACAATGGTGGACATGGCTTCAACAATAATTATTAAATCATTATATCATAATAAATAATAATAATATAATAATAATAGTATAAATCATAATATGTTCATAGCAGGAATTTTGCATTAAAGATATTGTCAATAAATCTTGTAAAACGAAACCAGACGAGTGTGACACCACAGACTTGTTTATAATCTGCGTGTCTATATAACATGCATATAATTGCCAAAACCCTACCTAATTTGAAATTTTTTTTTAAATATCAAAACCCCTTACCCTTATTCATTCACATACCAAAATGAGCAAAATCCGTTAAACCTCAACTGACTAATGGCAATTCCCATTTTTGGCAAAAAAATGCCGTAGCTCGAAATACGTCGATGGCGTGCTCCCAAATAGGACTTTAATATGGGAGCATAGCAGTAACAACTATACCCAATTTCAACATGTGGTCAAACGGTTCATGGAGTATATCGTTGACCGTAGCCAAATGTTGACGGACGGACGGACGGACGGCGGACGTACGACGGACGACGACCCATGGCAATAGCTCAGCTTGACGATGTCAAGGTTGAGCTAAAAACGGGAAAATAGTGCTATTTCACACGAACAACATTATTCTACTTTGCCTGCAAGTTTAGAATAATTTCATGGTATTGCATCAAGCATAATTCTTTGCTCTCTAAAACAAGACCAACCGCTTGTCATACGATACTCCTAGTTGAGATATTGGCTCCTAAACCTCCCCTCCACATGCTCACGCCGCCTCGCATCCACTTTATTCAGCTACCTTCACGCCCCAAGCATTTGGCTATCGGTTTACGTCCACCGCTTGGAGCGCTGATATTGTGTCAAATGCCCAAATTTGGTACTCTTACTAACACCTATAGTAACTGAGCTGCGTTGTAAAAACTTAAGTTAGAAAACATTGCCGGCTCCATCATGACGGGCATTAGCCGTGCTAGGAAAGATAATAGGGAGATAAGGGCACTAGGCGAGCGCCCCAAATCAGACCTATGATACCGAAACGCACGTTCATTCATAAAAGTCATCACGAAATAACCGAACTTTCACGAAGCCAACGCTTAAGGGCGTGAAGGTAGCTGAATAAAAGGGAGCGAGGCGGAGTGAGGCATGTGGGAGGGGAGGTTTAGGAGCCAATTTTCAGCTAGGAGTATTCGTATTGACAAGCGGTTCGTCTTGTTTTAGAGAGCAAAGATTCTTCGAGTG